CTCTCACACTCCCCCACGGGCACCCCACTCTCCCCAGACACACTCCCCCATGCCCGGCACGGCCCCAGGGGCTCTGAGCTGTGCTCCTGCTCCAGCTGCCAGCGCAGCCCCTCCCTCGCCCCTCTCTGGCTTCTTCCCAGGAGCTGCTTCCTGGCACACTCAGGGAACCACCCCAGTGCAGGGGCAAAATCCACCTTGTCCCTGCCCACAGCTGTGCCTGGGCCATCCTGGTGGCCCTTCAGGAGAGACTGGGGATGCTGAGAGGCAGCTCAGAGAGGTGCCCTCCGTGATCTGCTGCTCGTTAGCACAGAGGGTCTTGTTATAAATGTACATTACAGTATTGGCTTTTTGCAAATAATTAAATGGATTCTATATATGTGGTGTTAAAGTAACTTTGCTGGAGAGATAGAGGGTTTTTTTCTGTTGTTACCTAAAACTTTGAAGTAGCTGATACAGATATATATATATACACATATATATATACCTGTGTTTAATGTCTGCTTGGTTGGGATAATATCCAAGGAACATGATAAGGACCTGCTACTGATATGCCAAATATCAGCACCCACCCTCTCAAGACAGTGTGGACCAAAGCCCAAGAACTGGAGGTGATGGTAAGAATGGACTAAAACCACTAAAACCAAGATTTATGCATGCTCTAAAAAGGCAGACCTGAGGAGGAGCCATGCTAAACAGTTCTTAGAACATGCAAACTTTGGGGAAAAGTTTAAGTATGCAACAACTGATGCAATAGAAGTGCTATATGAAGGATGTTTCCAAACTAGCAGATGTGCCCTTGGCTGAGTGCCAGTCACATGGCCGTAAATCTTCGCTTTATTATCTTTGTTTCCTATTGTTCTTTATTAAGCTTCTAAATTTTACCAGGAGAGCGAACCATGTTTTTCACCCCGTGGAAAGTGCTGGCAGACAGCATTCTCCACATGGGGCGTTCCAAAGGCTTTTGCTCAGCAGCGAGGCCAAGGGCAGGAGCAGCTCCTGCTGGGGCTGAGGGCTGGAGGGAAGGGCAGCAGCCCCAGGCACCTGAGCAGGAGCGGCTGCCCCGGACAGAGACTCAGGGAGTGAAGGCACTGCCCTGGCTGGAACAGGCCCAGCACAGCCCAAACAGCTCTGGCTCCTTTGGAGGGATCTGCTTCCCCTTTTATCAGGACAGTGAGGGAGCAACTACTGCTTTCCTGGAAATCATGTGTTTTCCTGCAGCAGTGTGAAAGAGAAACTGCTGCTGCCTGGTTTGGGGTGAAAGTTTTTTTGGTGAGAGGTGGACTTGAGGGTGTTGGGGGTCTTTTCCAACCTTTGATTTTGGATTTAGAGAAGGAAAATAAGAAGAAAAGGATTAGAAGTTGTTACTCAACGTGTAGCACGGGGCATGTCTGCCTTCTTTATTGCAGCACTGGTTGTTTGGGGGATACTTCCTCCAGTCAAGTCTGACAGTGTTGGATGAACAGAGTTTTTATCATACACACTAATTGTATATTCATTAGCTATCCCCGCTTATTTGACTTTATTTTATGCAGTCACATCCTTTACCAGGAGTCCTTACGTGGTTTTGTCTTTAATATTCCGTGTCCTTTTTAGGGGCATGTTCCTTGACCCCCACTTTTGAGTGAGGGACATATCCTCATTTTGCACAACTTCTGCTTTGTCAGCCTTGCAGAGCTGAGCTGGCATCCTGCTTCCATTTTTCATGACTTCTCTTTGCCTGAGTTACATCCTTTACCTCTTTCTCCAAGGCTGTGCTGTTCTCCTGTCCTTATAAAATCCCTCCTCTTCTTGATTCTAAGTTCCTTGTGGGAACCAGTCTCTTGACATTTATATTTCCTTTCAGAGTGCAAGGCATTAAAACAGCTTCAACACTGAATCTTGGTGCTGGCTAAGACCACACAGCAATTATTAAGGTGGTGATTATAAACAGACATTTCACCAAGTCCAGCTGGGTACCCATGAAGGACGTTTGGTCCAGATTTCTCCCAATCCCCAGGATGTGGTGTCTTGAGCTGTGGGTTGTAAAATTTGGGATTGTTTCCAGATTCCCTGAACATCTGTAGGCACGCTACGATGTCTTTTGAGCAGTGAATACACAGCACCTGGAGTTAATGACAGTCCACATTCCTCCTTGTGATGCTAAAACAAGTGCTAGCACCATTTGGTTTCATAAAACAAGCTCGTGACAAGCTCTTGACTTCTTCCCAAGGGGCTTAGGCCCTTTTAATTCTGGAACAAGGTATCCAAAATTTTACTTTGTGCAGTTTCAACGCGGTAAAAGTTGTCAGCAGTGCTTGGAAAGGTCCCTTCCACTTTGGCTGGAGTGGAGCAGTTCCCCAGTCATTCAAACAGACCCAATCTCCTGGCTGGAACTCATGCCCTGGTGTGTCCAACCACTGCAAATCCTGCAAGGTTTTACTAAGAGAAATGAAGTAATTATTCAAATCAACCCCTCCTTTTAACATGTGTGTTTCCATTTTTCATGACTTCTCTTTGCCTGAGTTACATCCTTTACCTCTTTCTCCAAGGCTGTGCTGTTCTCCTGTCCTTATAAAATCCCTCCTCTTCTTGATTCTAAGTTCCTTGTGGGAACCAGTCTCTTGACATTTATATTTCCTTTCAGAGTGCAAGGCATTAAAACAGCTTCAACACTGAATCTTGGTGCTGGCTAAGACCACACAGCAATTATTAAGGTGGTACCTTCTCCCTCCAGGCCCTGCAGCTCCCTGGCTGGGACAGGCCCAGCACAGCCCAAACAGCTCTGGCTCCTTTGGAAGGATCTGCTTCCCCTTTTATCAGGACAGTGAGGGAGCAACTACTGCTTTCCTGGAAATCATGTGTTTTCCTGCAGCAGTGTGAAAGAGAAACTGCTGCTGCCTGGTTTGGGGTGAAAGTTTTTTTGGTGAGAGGTGGACTTGAGGGTGTTGGGGGTCTTTTCCAACCTTTGATTTTGGATTTAGAGAAGGAAAATAAGAAGAAAAGGATTAGAAGTTGTTACTCAACGTGTAGCACGGGGCATGTCTGCCTTCTTTATTGCAGCACTGGTTGTTTGGGGGATACTTCCTCCAGTCAAGTCTGACAGTGTTGGATGAACAGAGTTTTTATCATACACACTAATTGTATATTCATTAGCTATCCCCGCTTATTTGACTTTATTTTATGCAGTCACATCCTTTACCAGGAGTCCTTACGTGGTTTTGTCTTTAATATTCCGTGTCCTTTTTAGGGGCATGTTCCTTGACCCCCACTTTTGAGTGAGGGACATATCCTCATTTTGCACAACTTCTGCTTTGTCAGCCTTGCAGAGCTGAGCTGGCATCCTGCTTCCATTTTTCATGACTTCTCTTTGCCTGAGTTACATCCTTTACCTCTTTCTCCAAGGCTGTGCTGTTCTCCTGTCCTTATAAAATCCCTCCTCTTCTTGATTCTAAGTTCCTTGTGGGAACCAGTCTCTTGACATTTATATTTCCTTTCAGAGTGCAAGGCATTAAAACAGCTTCAACACTGAATCTTGGTGCTGGCTAAGACCACACAGCAATTATTAAGGTGGTGATTATAAACAGACATTTCACCAAGTCCAGCTGGGTACCCATGAAGGACGTTTGGTCCAGATTTCTTCCAATCCCCAGGATGTGGTGTCTTGAGCTGTGGGTTGTAAAATTTGGGTTTGTTTCCAGATTCCCTGAACATCTGTAGGCACGCTACGATGTCTTTTGAGCAGTGAATACACAGCACCTGGAGTTAATGACAGTCCATATTCCTCCTTGTGATGCTAAAACAAGTGCTAGCACCATTTGGTTTCATAAAACAAGCTCGTGACAAGCTCTTGACTTCTTCCCAAGGGACTTAGGCCCTTTTAATTCTGGAACAAGGTATCCAAAATTTTACTTTGTGCAGTTTCAACGCGGTAAAAGTTGTCAGCAGTGCTTGGAAAGGTCCCTTCCACTTTGGCTGGAGTGGAGCAGTTCCCCAGTCATTCAAACAGACCCAATCTCCTGGCTGGAACTCATGCCCTGGTGTGTCCAACCACTGCAAATCCTGCAAGGTTTTACTAAGAGAAATGAAGTAATTATTCAAATCAACCCCTCCTTTTAACATGTGTGTTTCCTGGAGTGTGGCACTTGGTGGGGTCGACCACAGAGCAGCTCACAGGGGCTGATTTTGCTGGTGCCCCACAGCTGAATTCTGCTTTGAAGCAGAGCAACAGGCAAGGCTTGGACCCAGGTCAAGGAGCTTTCCTGACATATTTTACCCAACTGCAATTTGATTGTATAATTCACTTTGCCACTAGCCTGGGGCCTATAAGGAGTGTGAAGATCCCAAGCTGTTCCCAAGGTTTTCCTGAGTTGTTGTATCACTTCTGCAATAACGTGGGAATCTGTGTCTGATGACATTCCCAAAGGTACCCCCGATTTTTGATTGATTGTGTTTTTGGGGTTTTGTATCTATTTGATTTGACAGTACTTTAGTCACTTCCCTAACCTGGTTGGTGTGACAAGGGAAGGCTTCTGGCCACCCACAAAAGGAATCCACCAGAACTTTATAGTTCTGGATTTATACCCCCCTTATCTGGACAATTCAGTAAAATCAATCTGCCAGTGTTCACCCAGAACATTCCCACATTTTATGGCTCCCAGCGTTATTTCGTTAGCCTTGTTAGGGCTGTTTCTTTAACAAACTACACTTTGTTGGATTCTTGATTGCACAATCTGAGCCATTTTAGACCCAATTGTGGATTTTTGCAAACATTTTCAAAAGTTTTTCAGCACTGCAATGAGAGTCTTTGCGTATGTGACCCCCTGTTTCACACAAGATCAGTTCTGGGACTGATTTCTGCCTGCTTGGGGTAACTGCCCATCCTCGTGGATCAAATTTTGCTGTCCTTATCAATTCCTGCAGCAGGCAGGCTCTGGATTTTTTTTTGGGGGGGTCACAGTGATCTCAGCACCGTTCCTGCAGGTCTTGCTCAGTCCCAGCTGCTTTGTCCTCACGTGCCATCTCCTCTGCTCCCACAGGCTCTGGGACATCCACAGGGACATCATCTTCACTCTGGGGACAGGGGGGAAGGTGACACTGTTATCAATAACTGTGTAGTTGTTGGCTTTCACTATTATATTGGCTTTTGTAAATTATTTTGTGCCGTTTGTAATCACCTTTTAGCTTTTCATATAATATCATTTCGTATTTATTATTAATTTTAATATTTATTTCTTTAATTAATATTATTATATTTATTATATTTATTACTATATTTAATTAATATTATTATTTATAAAATTAATATATTATTTATAAAATTAATATTCATTTTGTCAGCCTTTTATGTTTAATACCCTAATCCCCGTGTAGATTACATATTTTAATGTGATAAATATATTATAGTTGAGGCTCTCACATAATATTAAAATAGACACCATGTCCTGTGTATTATAACATTAACTTTTGCAGAAGTAATTGTAGTTGTGAAATCACAACTAATGCTTTTATTTTTGTCGCTGACTGACAACAGTCACTGATATTGGTTAAAAGTTGATTAAGTTAATTGGTTAAATTGGTTAAATAACTGATATTGGTTGAAAGTACTTGTTAAAATGGCCAAAATGTGTGTATGATAAGATAACATTGAAAAGAACCAGGCAAATAACACTAAAATAGCAAGAAGGAATCCACCACTGATTCTATCAATAAATTTCAAAGCACAGACCAGGGAGCCTTATGAAGAAATAAAATACAAAACTCTCAAAATCACGTCTGCATTGTGGCACATGCTCTAAGATGAGGTCAGGGCTCAAACTAAGCTAAAGAATTCCCGGGACAAATAAACTCAAGTGAATATTTGAATATGTATAATCATCATGAATATGTATTTGACCAATACAATGAAAAATATATGAGAAGAGTTGTTCTAGTTAACGGTGTACATGTGGCTATGGCTGTGCATCCAGCACTGCTATTTTTGCTTTATCCCTTATAAAACTTTTAAAAATTTCAAAGAGTGAGCCTCGTTCCTCACAGCACCATCCCCCTGGGGGTGCAGCCCTGTAAGTGCCTGTCCGAAATTCCCCTCATTCTTTGCCTCACGACCATCATGAAAGCCAAGACCACCGAGGGAAAAGTTCCTGTTTTAAAATCCTGGTCCTGTTTGGATTGTCCTCCACCAGGCCAAGTTCCCACAGGTGTGTTTGCTGTCCCATGGGTGCTGCACCCTTTGAATGAGGAGAGGGACACTGTCCCCTTTCACACCTGGAATTGCTGGAATTTCTCCACCCTCCTGACCTGGCTGGGCTTCCTCTCTGGAATGACCTTCTCGGTGGTCACCACAAACCGAACGTCAACCACCGTGACAAAGGGACTGAGATGGGAGAAGTTTTTCCTCCCGTCAAGGACTGGGACATGAGACCCCTGCAGGGAAAAGCTCCCCTTTTCTTTCCCCAAGGACTGAGAAACCCCTGACTCAGGGGGGAAGGTGTGTGTGGGGAGGCCAAGTGAACAAGCCGAGATTGCAAGCTGACCACTGGACTGAGAAGACAAATGGCTCTTGCCCACTGCTGAGGTCATGGACTGTGGTATCTGTTCTCCTCCCCCTTGAAATTTTGGATAATAAAAACCCCTGCTTTAGCTAGGGGCTTCTGGGATCTCCCCTGATGTGAAGACGACAGGTTCTTCGTTGACTGGACTCTGAAGGACTTGGTCATCCACACGTCTGCTAGCTATACACCTCCTTTCTTTTCCTCCCCTCTTCTTCCTTATTCTTTCCCTCTCCTTTATTCCCCTTCTCCTTAATGCATTTTGCTGTAGTTATTCAATAAAAGTACATTTGTTTTTGATTATTCCTGCAAAACCCCCCTTTGTCGTGTCAGTTTTTTGCACCCTGAGATCAGTGAAAAGAACCTTCACGAATCTTGCGATCGTGTCAAGCCCCTGCCCGGCCCTCCAGTGCGGGGGTGGGGGGATGCTCACCGCCAGCGATGCTCCGCAGCTCCTCCGCAGCTCCGCAGCTGCCAGCGATGCTCCGCAGCTCCTGCACCTCCTGCTGCAGCCGCAGCCGCAGCAGCTCCCGCAGCAGCTCCCGGCGCCGGCTCCGCGGGGCGACCCCCATGCGCCGCAGGGACCCCTCGGTCAGGCGCAGCAGCCCCCGGCCCGTCAGGGCGTGTTCCCGAGCCAGCTCCGCCGCCCCGCCGTGCGCCGCCAGCCACGAGCCCACCTCGACCCCCGACCACTGCCCCGCCGGGCGCTGCGACCCCTCGGGCCTCTGGAGGGAGGAGAAGGGGAGATGGTTGTCCCGTCAGGGAGCCACAGGGTCACGCTGTCACCTCTGTGCCACAGTGTCCCCGCCCCAGTCCGAGCACAGCCCTCGGTCGCATCCCTGCACTGATGCTGGCGGCTGCACCCTCGTCCCCGTTCTCAGCCCATGGGGGTCCCCAAATCCCTGCCTGGGTGGGTCCCCATCCTCTGCCCCCGGGGATTCACAAATAACTACCTAGAGGAATCCCCCCTCCTTCACCCGTGGGGATTCCACGTCCCCTGCCCATGGGGGGTCCCTGAAATCCCCACCCATGGGGGTCCCCAAACCTCCTCCTGTGGGGTTTCACATCCTCCCCCCATCTGGACACCCCAACACCTACCCATGGGGTCTCCCATCCTCCACCTGCGGGTATCCCACACCCTTCATTCATGGGGGTCCCCAAACCTCCACCTGTGGGGGTCTCACATCCCCATCCATGGATTTCCCTCCTCTTCCACTGCTGGGGTTCCCTGGCACCCCACTGCAGTTGTCCCGGGGGGGTTCCCAGCCCCTGCCCGCTCTCACCTCAGCCTCGGGGTTCCCCTCCTGGGGTGCCTCAGCCCCATCCTCCGCCGGGAGGTCCATCTGGGGCCGGGGGCAGGGCACGGGGGCTGTTCTGGCTCCCTGCAAAGGGAGCTCCGTCAGCGGGGGGGGTCCCCGGACCAGCCCCCCCATATCCTGCCGGCCACAAAACCCCCCCAGCCCTCCCCCCTGGTCCCTGCTGGGGGCACACACTCGGGGGTCGCGCTCCTCGATGCCACCCACCCCCTGCCCCCCCAGCACAAGGGGCTGCTCCCGGGGGTCGCGGCCGCGCCGCCCGTCCCACCGTGACACGCCGGTGACACCAGCCCCGGCTCTGCCTTGCCCCGAGCCCGCAGGGGACACCGGCACCGCCCGGCTCCCCCGCCCGGCCGAGACCTCTGCCTCCCTCCTTCTTATCCCCCCTTCTCCTACCTCGCTCCGGCTCCGTGCCCAGCACCAGGAGAGCCAAAGGAACCTTTGCCCGGGCGCTGGCTCCCCGGGCACAGCCCCGGGAGTGCCACGACAGCCCCGAGCGCTGCCCCACAAACGGCCCCGCCGGGCACAAGGGAACCCTGGGCATCCCGGGAGCCGAGGCACGGCGTTCGAGTGGGCTCCATCCGAAGCTCTGCCGAAGCTCCCGCAGCCCTCCCGGATCGCTGCCGCCAGCCCACCCCGCTACCCCGAGCACCTTCCACGCCCCACGGGTACGGGACGCACCGGAACGGCTTCGGCCACGATGGTGCCGATGGCAGCGAGGGTCCCACAGGAGGAGGGGACACGGGAGAGGCACCGGCGGAGCAGGGGAGGAGCGGGATGAGCCTCCAGGATGAGTCACATCCGACGGGCTGCAGCCCTGCCCGGCCGAGCGTGTGCGGACCAGCCCCGCCTGCAGCTCCGCAGGGCGCTGCTCTGCCCCCGCAGCCTGCAGGGGGTTAAACCCCCCAAAATAACACCTGCAGGGGGTTAAACCCCCCCCAAAAAACGCCTTTAGGGGGTTAAACCCCCCAAAATAACACCTGCAGGGTGGGCAGGGCACGGCTGGAGTGCCCATCCCGGGAGGGATTCAACAGCCGCGTGGTGGTGGTGGCATTTGTGGCTCAGTGGTGGCCTCGGCAGCACGGGACTCAGTGAGTTTTCCCAGTTTTCTTTTCCACCCTAAACGATTCTGTGGTTTTAAAGCAATCCCGGCATTTCTCTGGCCTTGGCAGTTCCCCTCTCCCCCTGGAGCAGTGCTCTTGCACAAGATTTCCAAGGAAGAATAAACAGGACAGCCCGGGTGCTGCACCCATGCCTTATCTCAGCCGAGCCTCCGGAGCGGGGCCGGGCAGCATCTGGTGGGTGGCAGAAACTGCTTCTGCCAGAAAAAGGACCCGAAGGTGTTTGTGAGGTGCTTTAGGAGAAACTCTGCTCCCTGGCAGGTGAGAGCAGCCACCCTCAGCATCACAAAGGCACAAGGAACAAGAAAGGAACGAGGAAATTAAACAAAAAGAACAAGGATCTTATTTTCCCAGTGCTTGGGAGAAGGACAGCCCTGCACAGCTGAAGATTGTCAAGACCTTAGAGCCCCTGGCAGGGCCTGGAGGGCCCACTCACCAGCTGTGATTCCATGATTTCAGAGAGCCAACACCTGGTGTCAGCTCAGAGCCTCCAGCACAGGAACAGTCCCCAAAGCATTTCAGGCAAAGGGAGGAAAAGAAAACAGCCAGAACTGGGTTTTGTCCTGATTTATTGCAGTTCCATCAGTGACATTCATTCATCAGATGCAATTTGCTCATTCCAACAGCATTTGGACAGCGTGGAGCAAACTGCCCCCTCAGAGCCCAGCTCAGCCCCTGGGACTGAGCCTGCTGCCCCACAGAGCTGCTCCTCCCCACAGCATTACCTCCCCTCTCAGCCCCCCCACCTCCACTGCTTCACGTGCTCCTGATCTCCAAAGTTAATTCTCCATCCAGAGCTTTGGAATAACTTTTGTTCTCCCGTGGGAGAAATCCTGAAGGGTTGCCAGAGGGATCAGACAGTTCCAAGGAGCCTGCAGAGAGACTCAGAGCTATGTTAACTGTTCCTCTCCTGGAAGTGGAATAGAGCGTGCTCATTAGATAAAAATTACTGGCTGAGTAGCTAAAAGGGATTGACAAAGGCCACAAATCCCCTCTCCAAGAAGGATTGGGTGTAGGATTTATTAGTGCATTGAAACGGCATCGCCAGGCACAGATGGAGGGACAGAGCTCCCAGGGCTGTTACTGGGGGTACAGCTCCACGATCATCGCGTGACCCTGGGAACAGAGAGAGACAAAACATCACAGAAATGGCTCATTAACAGAGACAAGACTAATTACTGCTGGCACAGACTCCCAGGCACAGCATCAAGAACATGAGCCACAGCAGCTGGACACGAGCCCAGGTGTGCTCAGGTGGACAAGAGGCCATTGACCCCTGGGCTGTGCCAGCTCTGGGGTAGTGGTGATGGGAGCAGCCAGAGGTGCCTGAGGGAGCTCTGAACACGCAGCACCCAGAGCTGGGGTCACCAGGCAGGATTGCAGAGTCCCAGCAGGATCAGTCCTGCTGTTCCTGCCCTCTGCCAAGGTTCCTCCCTCTCCCCAGGCTGGGGCACAGCACCTTTACCTGCCCTCCTGCAGCACAGGCAGCCACCAGGCCGTACTGGCCCCCCTCCTTCTTCAGCCTGTGGGCAGCAGTGATGACCAGGCGGCAGCCGGTGGCCCCAAAGGGGTGTCCCAGGGACAGGGAGCCCCCCCAGGTGTTGAACTTGTCCAGAGGAGGGGCTCCAACCTGCAGGGACACAGAGGGACACACCCCACGTCACCTGGCTGGAAGGGATGACACCTCATCCCTCCCCTAATCCCAACACTGAGCCTAAAGTAGCTCGGGATGGCACATCCAGGTGGCTGATGAGGAGATAAAACCACCCCAAAGGAGATCCTGCTTCACCTGCAGCCCCTCAGGGGAGCCCTGCCAGGACTGAGCCCCTCTCACTGCCCTCAGCACCCTCCTCTACAGGGATTGTGGCTCTGGAGCTCCACAGTGGCTCTGGATCTCCACCTCCTGCCGACAACGGGAACAGCATCCCAAAGAAATCTCACGTCCCAAAGAAACTGCATCAATTGGGATTTGCTAAGCTAAGCTCCAGGAGCATCACTGCTCCTCACGGGACAGAGCCAGAGCCTGGCTGTGCAGCACCAGCACTGCCAGGAGGGAGCTTAGGAACCCCAAAGTTTCACTGAACTGGAGAGAAAAGTGGCTCCAGAGGAGACATAGAGCTGCTCCCAGGGCTGGAGCCAGGCTGGCAGAGCTGGGGGTGCTCACCTGGAGAGGAGAAGGATCCAGGGAGAGCTCAGAGCCCCTGGCAGGGCTCCAGGAGAGCTGGAGAGGGGACAAGGGCCTTGAGGAGCAGGACAAGGAGGAAAATGTCCTGAGTGTGCCTTACCTTTGACTTCCTGCCCATGTAGTTCTGTGCAAACCAATCCGAATCCATGGCTTTCAGGTTAGCCAGGATCTGGCCCTGCAAGGGAGGAGAGGGTGACACTGGGAATAACCCAAGGCAGATGGCTACAGGGAGCCATCCCAGCTTTAGAGCACTTACAGCAAAGGCCTCGTGGAACTCAAACACATCGATGTCACTCACGCTGAGCCCGGCCTTCTCCAGCACTTTGGGAGTGGCATAGGTGGGGCTGAAGGAGGGAAGACACACCAGTCTTGCATCTGTGTTCCCTGTCAGCCCCACCTCCCCTTTCCACAGTCACATCCTTCTCTCTGGGCTCATGGCCCACCCCTGTCCAAGGGAGGCACAGCCCCCAGAACTGTTGCTGAGGTGCCCCAGCAATCCTGGGGTGTTCCTGCCACTGCTGCTCTCCCACCTCGTGAAGGCCTGGAGAGATGTAACATCTCCTGAGGCACTTCCCAAAACCACATCATGGCAGGAGAGGGCTGCAGTGGGAGCAGGGGCTGTGGGGAATGCTCTCCATCTCCACCTACCCCAGGAGCAGCTGGTCCTTGGGATCCTGGGACACGTACACGAAATCCCTGTGCAGGAAAAGGGCTGTCAGTGCCAGGGAGAGGAGGGGGAAGCAGGAGCAGGGGTCACTGGAGCAGCCCCTCCTACCTTAGGTAGGCCTTTGGTTTGTAGCCCATGGCCAGGGCCTTCTCCTCAGACATGATCAGCATCGCCGACGCTCCGTCGGTCTGGAATGGGCAGGGAGAAACCAGGTGGGGGGTCTGCACACAAGGAGCCCCACAGCCCCCAGAAAGAAAGTACCTGAACACCAGCAGAGCCTCCAGGACACCCCACAACAACAGGGACCAAAGGACAAGGATTGAGAGGATGGAGGGATGGATGGTCACTGATGATGCCAGCTCACGCAGTGCTGAAGCACCTCCTCACAACCCTTGGGACAATTGTTCCACCCAGGACAGAGGAGCCTGAAAGCCCTGCTAGGCCTGGGACAAGCTGGTGACCCCAAACACTCAGCTGTCCTCCCATTTCCATCCCAGAAATGAGAATAATTCTGGGATGACACAAGGCACAAGCTCACCACATGACAAAAATTTGGGTTGTTATTAAACCCATTATTGTGGGGTTGGCACATCACATCATGGAATGGTTTGGGTTGGAAAGGACCTTAAATCACATCCAGTTCCACCCTCCTGCCATGGGCAGGGACACCTTCCACTATCCCAGATGGCTCTAAGTGCTCAGAGTTTTCAGCTTTTATGTATTTTCCATATATTTGTAGCTTTGTAGACTGTTAAATGCTTTGGTATAACTTCCAGTACTTTTCCAGCAGTGAACAAACTCCTATTGATGCACTCCTAAAATATTGTTTAGTTTTTCCTGTTACTCTTCCAAGGATTTTTACTTTGCACTATGGAATCACAGACATGATAAAAGGTAGGAGATGGGGAGGAGAGCTCCCATGGGGCAGAAGCCAGGGGGAATCACTTAACCAACTGCTCCTCTAACTGGACAATACTGGCTGGATATTCTAACTGCCCCACCTTGTATGAAATGGTACAAATCTAATTCAGGATGTGGATTTTTGCCATATTCT